CACGACGCCATGATAGTTTTCACGCTAGGTTGAGACTTCGCGGACGATTTTTTGTCCGTTTCCCTCGAATTGTAAATGTTTTTATTTTATTTTTTTTTACCTGACGATTTAACTTCGGCAAATTACAGTGTATGGTGTATTTCTAGGAGTTTCTGTTACACATATGAAGCGAATGATTCATTTTAAAACATTTTTTTACAAAATGGTGATTATCTCAGTTTCATGTTTTACTCCAAATTTCAACTTTAAAACTATTTAACTTCAAGACGCTCCATTTGTTTTCGATGAAATTTTCAGGGGTCATTATTCAGGTCTATCCTAAGTAAATGGCTTCGTATGGTTTCACTGTCTTTACTGGAACAGAAACAATAGAGCTGCCAATTAGCAGCTCTGTTAACTGTGAACGATTTATAAAATGTGAATATTTCAAAGAGCACTGTGTAAAAACTTTTCAATGGAAGCACTAATAAATAAGCCATTATGTTCCTAGTAAACAGAAGTTTTAAATAAGTGTTCTTAAATTAAAATCAGGGTATGCATTCAAAAGTTAAATAGTTTTAAGTGCACTTTCACCTAAAATGCATGATTTTAACCCAAAATCAACACCACTTAGCTTAATATGGTATCATAGTACATTATTGTATACCATAAAACTCAAAAGTTTAAATAAAACTCTTTCAAATGATATATAACTTGATTGGCAAAAAGTATATTTTACTCATGTAATTACAGTAATTAGAGGCAATTAGAAATATAGTCTCCCAACCTGCATCTCTACCTTAAAAATCAAACATTCTCTAAATGCAAATGCTGCAGACTAAAAACAGAAACAAATAATTATTGTTCCGATTTATATACAAGGAAATTTCAGCAATAGTTATTAACAAGTTTTGTCAAGGCAGTAATGTTCCGGCCACTGATCTTCAAATTTGATTCCATCTCTACCCACATGTACATGCAATAACACTCATTCAGATGACTGCAAAAATACATGTGCCAGTCTTTATATCTTGGATTAAATCATAAGAGAGTGGTTACTGCCTTACATGGCGTCGAGTATGAAACAAATACACAGAATTTGTGTCAGTGGAGTTGTGGGAGTGTGGCATGCTCGATTATGCAGAAATAACACGAAGAGTTTGGTTGAAAAAATTGGTCTGAAATAGTTTTAAATGTTATACTTGCAGGTAGGAAATGATGGTGACTTTTCTGAACCCAAATCATTAGTTGACTTGTATGGCTTCAAGAATATGATATTACAAATTACTACCAAGTATCAGTGTAAGTAGTCATAATTATAATTATAATACAAGTTTATCACAACAAAAAAAACATTTTAACATGTCATAAACCATTTCTCAGGCATGCCTGGATGGATTTCATTTACTCATTGCCAAGAATTTACAGCACTTATGATTGGTTGCTGATGCATGTCGTTTTGTTTGGCGATTTTATTCAAAATGGTGGTGGGCATTTTTTTTCTACTCGTTTCTCAGATACATTTTGACATATTTTGATTAACTTTAGTCCTTTCACTGTCAAAGTATTACATGTTCATTACAAAATTTATGACATTGTTATTTACCGGTACATATGAAATAAGAAATTCATTCACACTTTTTTTCATGACAAAAAAAAATGTCACTAAATATATAAAGGGTATACATTTATATGTCATTGTCAATGTTCTGTAGTGAAATTCATGCTGACAGCCATTTTTAACATAAAACTGGCAAATCTAACACTCAAATTTGTTCAGAACCATTTCCTAGATATGACTTTTCTGATTTCAGTCATACATGATAACAATACATAAATACAATTATACTAGATTTTTCTCACTAAAAATTCATTCAAAAATTCAAGACTTTATATTATTGACAGGGTCATTAACAATTACTTGCAATTTACAAATATGTTATTATGTTATGGGTCTTCATGTGTGAATTAATACTGGGTTTTTCAGAAAATGTTTATACCAAAAGGCACTATAAATTATAGGTAGCTTCCATCCACCTTCCATGGAGTCTTCTACTCATATATATGTGCATACAAGAGAGGATTCTTATATTTTAATGAATTATTGCAAATGTAATGTATGAATGTTGTGTATCCATTCCAGATCACATGCACAAAGGCATGGAGGAAGTGTTTAAAAAATTTCCCAAAAGTGAATATGTTATAGTTGTCGAGGAGCAGCTCCAAGTGAGTCCCGATTTCCTGAATTATTTTGCTCAGACGTTACCATTATTGGAAAAGGACTCCAGTATCCTAGCTATATCTGCATTTAATCAGAATGGTAAGTTTAGATTACACCATCAAATGTAGTATTCTATGGCAAATGATATTGTTCAGTTCTGCTGTGTAAATCTTCATTGTGAAACCATTTTAGTTCTGCTTCAGGTAAAGTTTAAATAAGAATTTTTGAATTTTCTTGTGTGTCTGTAAATATGCAGATGGACTTTCAACATTCTTGACCACTTACATGTAAGTGATCTCTTTAAAGCCTGAAACAAAGACAACACATTAAATATATGTGCATCGATTTGTTTTGAAATACTACCGGTATCAAAGATGGCTGACTGGAGGCCATTTGTATGACTCATTTCTTGTATTAATTTGTTTTTAGGTTTCATGAACACCTCTGGTGATCCTACCCGACTGTATCGCACTGAAGACTTTCCAGGATTAGGGTAGGTTAAAATCTTTGATCTTTCAATTTTCCCCAGCATGCATGGTACTGAACTTTACTCTGGCAGCCATTTTTAATCAAGAATTAGTCTGAAACTAGGGGCCACAAGAAATAACCTACCAAATTTTCAGAAAACTTTTGTGTTAAGTGTTTTAGTCATTTCCACCTTTTAGTCTGAGAACCCAAGTCAAGTCAAGACAATTGGAAATTCTATTCATTTGGTCCAGAATTATTGAAAAATATTTTTAAAAAAAACATAAAAATAGACAAAATATCGCACAAAAATGTTCACAGTAACAAATCTTGAATAAAATAGAAATACCATGTATATCCATATCATTATAAACAAATTTAATTATAACTCGTATATTATGATTGTAACCAGAGGTACATTACTTGGGGTTTGCAACGCGCATAGTACTGTACGGTGACATCATGTCAAGATCCCATTCAAGTCTCATCTTGTAGATAACGAGACTGATGCTACAACCTTCTGAAATGACATAGGCAGTTTGTAATAAAACAATAAAACATGTATTACCACATTCATAGTGAAAATTTAATACATCAAAAATGTACAGAAAATATAGTTATCGTAATCCGTCATATCGTAAGCAGCTATTTTGACCCACCTGGACATCCCAGTGTCCTAGTTACCTCGGGCAGGCGCATTCGCATTTTTCTGAGTTGGAACGCTTATGCGAGAGCGAGATTGAAACTGGATCTTGGTATAATATCACCGTAGTTGTAAACCCCAAGTAATGTACCTCTGTTGTAACTCATCTCCATCTTAGGTGGGTACTGCGGAAGTCTGTATGGAATGAACTACAACCTCAGCTCAAAGATTGCTGTGATTCAAGGTCCTGGGATCAATGGCTGAAGGGAAACCTAAAAGGAAGGGAAATGGTTGTACCTGATGTCTCAAGAGTAGCCTGGTTTAAGAAGGACGGCTTCAGTTCTGATCAAAGTTTTCTAGATACATATTTTAATGACAGACGAACTCTGAGGTATGTTTTAAATGTGTTTCATTGTTTATGAATATTTCATATGTAATTTCATAGATTATGGTATATCATAATGTATACAGTGTTCCGGGGTCTAGGTGCTTTTATACCCGTACTTGTGATCAACCACTTCGAAAAACAACCACCCACAAGTGCTTCAGGGGATAATCATTTATTCCAAGCGGTGAATACTACAAACAGAAAATGACAGTTTGTCAACAACAAATGTAGCGTACAATGTACTACGACGGAATCACTTGTGAAACGATATTTCGAAAAATACATCAAAGATTCACAATTATCACTCAGAATCTCTTAAAACATAGACTCTAAAAGATTAAACAGTTACAATGAAATTAACCTACTTCGTTGGGTCTATAATGTTCTCTCACAGGCGTACTGAACGTCGAAAACCCGAAAAGTCAATCGCTGGTGTGGTCAACTTACTCAACAGCCCATAATAGTCTCCAAGATGTCAATAAAAACGAAAGTACCATAGAGGGCGTCAACACGTAGCTCTATCTACGGGGATACGAGCGGCACACTCCCCGCCTAAAAATATGTCATGAAATATATTTTTACATGAAATATGACTACTCAAAATTGTCTCTGTTACACTTTTCATGAGAATAAGCTCCACAACAGGCCTCTGATAATTCGGGTTGTGCCATCCTTGTGAACCATCACATCCACTT